GATTTTAATGTACCCATTAATTTTCTGATAAGATAGCACTGGCGAATGATGGTTGCAAACGAGTCAAAACACAAACAATATTCCTTTTGATAGATAATGAAAGGGAATCAAACTTTTCTACACATATATTGTACCGACATGGAACTCACTTTCTAATTGTGATCATAACAAAAGCCAATTTGTTTTTTAATTGAACTAATTACTTTATGTATTCGCTATGCATGGATACCCAGTCAAGCTCACTAGCATGTTAGTCGCCTCAACTTAACAATTGACCTTGACTACACCTTGTTACCCTACCAAGAGGCCAAACTGAGGTTTTGAAAGTCAAACTTTGCTTGCATACCGGGAAAAGGAAAATAAAAATTAAAAATTAAAAAAAATACACACACACACACACTCACTCACACATAAGTCGTAGTTTCCTTTTGACGATGAGAATACACATGTCGTACTTTGTTTTATAGATTTGAACCGTACTTTAAAGGCCTGTTTAATTTATTAATTTAAATTTTTAATTTGAGTTGATGTATAATTTTATGTGAAAACTTTTTATTGTAGTAAAAAAGTTAAATGTGATTATTTTTTAGAATTTTTTACTATAATAAAACTCAAATTCTAAACTCGAGTCGGTGAAATGAACGGAGCCTAAACTTCGTTTTATAAAGATTTTGAATTTATGTTTCTAATTTTTTATTTTAACTTAGGAACCAAATGTGACAATACTGGAGAACTATATAGTAGGATAAAAAAGCTCATATTTTAGTTGTAGGGTACTTATAGTTTAATTTCAATCTTAATTTATTAATATTTATGGATTTATTAGTTTCCATCAAATTTTATTGATTTAATGTTATACATATGTTATTATGATATGATTATCTGTGATTTGATGATTTAATACCATGTCCTATCTTTTGTAGAAAAAATTGTTGTTGAGTTCTAAGAGAGTAATTAAAATAGAGAGCTTTATGGGATATGGTAGAGAAAAAAAAAAAAAAAAAAAAAAAAAAAAAAAAAAACTCATATGACGCTTTTAAACTGCCAATATTCATCATGTTCAGTTAGATAGATTTTTTTTTTTCATATATATAAATGTAATTCTGACCTTAATCTGATCATGGGCTGCGAATTGTGTTTTCACATCCTACCAATCGCAAAAATACCGAGCTCATTGTAACAAAAGTTTCTTCAAACGACGGCTAAGAAAAATAAAACTACTAGTATGTATTACCGTCATCACTTGACTTTTTTAACCAGTTGAAAACTGTCGTATAAGAGTAAAGAATATGTCAAGATTCTTGTGTCATAATGTGGAACCTAGAGGAAAAAATAATGTCTTTCTAATTTGATTAAAGTAGAGATCATGATTATATGACTTGTTTGTACATATTAAACTGATTATTTTTACAACTCAAATAACAACTTAAATCTTATTATTATAATGTTTTTTTAAAAAATATATATTTAAATTTAACCTTTTTATTATAATTTTTTTTCACATGCACAATTTAAATTCTTAATTTAAGTTGTGAAACAACTTAATTCTATATTATTCCGTGACGTTTTTTCAATTAATTCTTACAGTAAGCTTTTGAAGAGAAAATGTCCCACTTTAATTAAAATAATAACAGCTTAGCCCTATTATCATGAATATATTAGAGCTGACAATCTAGGTAACGATATGACTTGAAATCCGTATAAAATTAGCGACATGATTAGCACAATTAATAAATAGGTTGGGTTAGGATTGACCTCATAATACGAAGTAACACGAATTAACACGAATTAACACGATTAACTATATGTGTCATCTGCAATCTAATTATATGTGATATTACATGAAAGTTTATATGACATATTAAATATAAATAATGTGAATTTTAATATTTGTATGTAAAATTCATTTATTTTTTTTAAAGGAAAATATAAATTGACACATAAAAATATTAAACGTGTCTTGACCGTGTTAAATAAATTATTATTATATTAATTATTTATTTAATATATTAATTTAAACGAGTTATATAGGTTGACATGATTAACATGATTAATATGATTAATAATAAGTCATGTTTAAATTGATATTTTTAATACATTTAATAAATATGTTGTATTTATATTGATATTTTTTGATATAATTAATAAATAAATTAACACAAATATAACTTACTAATACAAATTGTCACCTTTAGAATATATAACTAAACGTTCAGATTTTGTTTATTTCGTCGATTCGAGTTTAGAATTTAAATTTTATTACAGTAAAAAAATTTTAAAAATAATTATATTTAATTTTTTTATTACAGTAAAAATTTTTTACATAAAGTCACATTTTAATTTAAATTAAAGTGGCACATTGTGATTCCGTGCTCTATTCGGAAATACTTTTTTTTTTTGCAATAACTCCCTCCTGCTTTCCTGTCGTTTCCCTCAAATATACTTCTTTAGTTGCAATCAAATCAAATAAATGGCTAGTTCATTGGCAAGTTGAATGATGATAACCTATAATTAGCCTTTTTTGTCTGAAAGGTGTGATATTAGACACTTGTAAAAGATCTACTTCTTTGTAATTATGCAAATTTGATTCTGCTGTCTCTTATTGTGGAGCCAATGGAAGAAATGCACAAACAATAATTTATATGTAACGCACAATTAATAATTTATAGATCCTTTAATTTATTAATTTAAATTTTTAATTTGAGTTTAAATATAATTTTATATTTTATATGTACAGTCCTATTTGTTTAATATTCATTGCTCTGTCTAAAGTAAAAGAAACTTCTGGTAAATAGAAAAATCTATTCCTGCAGTCTCATCACAAGAACTAATTAATTAAGGATTATTAACAAATGGTGGCTTCTCTGGCTGAAGGCTCTATTATCCGCCCTGTCTCTCGATGGGAACCGTATTATTCTGATCTTTACGCTATATTTGATAGGATGAATAGAAAAGAAGAAGAAAGAGTAGTAAAATACTTAAATAAACGATATAAAATGATTTTTTTTATTTTATTTGATAAAAGAAAAAGAAAATTGAAAAAAATTAAATTTAAAATATTTTATAATAATATCCTAATATTAATAAAAATTAAAATTATTATTTTACACATTATTTATTTATCAATTTTTTTTTCTCAAAATTAGATGGTTTAAAAACTTGTGGACCCCATAAATTTTTATTTTTCTTTCTTACTCATTTCATCTCTACTAAGCAACCTAACTTTTATTTTTCTCTCTAAAGTTCCTCGTCTGTTTTCTTTTTTCTCTCTTTTATGCCCTACCAGACACAACGTTACTCTTACTCTATGTACTAGCATAAGGATACATGGTACAGTGATCATAAGTAGTATTTTAAAACGAGTATTAAACTTGTATATGCAAATCTTCAAATTTAAGATTCTTAAGGACGATCACCCAATATTTAAATCTTTAACTACAGACTCACCACTGCAGTCTATTACCATTAGGCGGCCATAATCCATTATTGTTAGAGCATCTCCGACTCATTACACTAAAATGGTGTTTTAGTGTAACTTTCACTATAAATAGTAAATTCATTTTCAATCTATTACGTTATTTTTAACACCAAAAAAAATATTTTATAAGTTTATTTAGTTCGTTAATTTGAGTTTTTAATTTGAGTTGATATATGACTTTATGTGAGAGCTTCCACTATAATAAAAAACTTAAATATAATTGTTTTTAAAATTTTTTTATTGTAATAAAACTCGAATAAATAAAATAAACATTACCTGTGTATATTTCTTTTTACAAATTAAAAAAAAGTAAAAGGTAAAATTAAAAAAATACAAAAAAAAAAAAAATCAAATTTGATGTTGAGTGAACCGCGAAAACGCATATCTCCGACATCAATCCTACTTTTGCACACCAAAATAGTAAACGTTGGAGTTGGCCCTGGGTGGCCATCTCAGTGGGTGGTTCTCTTGATTATATTGCCCTCATTACTCTTGGGATTCTTTTCTGTGTTTTTGTTTTTGGCCAAATAATATTGGTGGTAACTTGTAATTTATTTTTCCTTGCTTCAAAATCTTATTAGTGGACGTGATGAGGCTTGTGATCAAACCCTATAGATGGTGACTGTTAGGCAGGCCTTTAGGTCATGAACAATAAAGCTATTTCCCATGACATGAAAACTCCTAACTCTTCAGTTTCTGTCATTTTTGTTTCTTTGGAAGATCTTAATGGTTCTAAGCAGAGATCTCCTCTGTCTCTCTGCACTCATAAGTTGGACATGCAATCATGCTAGTTAAGCCATTGCTACTACAGAATCATAAAAAGTACTTTTGTCCTAACTACAAAAATCACACAGTTTCTTTAATTCAACAAGGAAACTCCCACAACGAGACATGCCATTTTTCTCTCTCTCTCACACACACAAACGTTTGTTTCTTAGTAGTAAAAAAAATATCTGTTTTACTTTTCCAACATAAAGGTGTTTGAAGGACGTAAAATAGAAGATTGTTAACAAAGAGAGAACAAAATCAAGTGTTGTTGGGAATCATTTGTTTTAGCTAGCTTTTCAATTAACTTTCCTTGGTATCTTCTTCCAAGAGGCAAAAATAATAATAATAATGAAGAATAAAAAATAAAAATAAATAAATAAAATCTCTCGGTGCCCATTTCAGGTGGGCTTTAAGGCACTAAGAATTGTCTGTCCAATAGTAGCACTAAAACCTTTTCAAGATGTAGTGCGTGAAGATAGCATTTCCTTTCCACAGGAAATGCCAAAACACCATCGGGAAGCGCTTTCCTGGCAACAATAGAAAAGACAAAATACCTTGTTTTCCCATTAACTAATTAACACTATTTCCAAGCCCCTCAGTTTACAAATTACCCTCTTCCACAAGCCCTCCTCTGCAAAAAACATTTTAAAATCGAGGAGAGAGAAGACGCAAAGAGCTAGCTATAAGATTCCAACTTTTGTTCACTGATCCCCCCAATGAGCGGCCTTGGCTTTTCTTTCATCACTTCTCTTAAACTTAAGCTTCACTCCTTCATCTCCCTCCCAAAATTCTTTCATTAACAAACGCATTTCTCTTCCACCATTTCTCCTAGTTTTTCTCATTCACATAATTTTTTAGTCTCAAAAGACAGAAACAAAAAATATAAAAAAAGAGTGATATTGCCATTAAATGCAATGGCAATTGATTGCATCACTACTACTACTACTAGTACCATCACCACTAGAACCATACCATCCATGCCTCAAACCCAAAAAAACCAACACAAACTAGAACAAGTGGAAAACCAAAACTCACTAGTGTTTGATGCCTCGGTCCTGAGTCACCAATCAAACATACCAACACAATTCATATGGCCAGACGGCGAGAAGCCTTGCGAAAATGCCCCCGAGCTTCCCGTCCCGTTCGTCGACCTAGGCGGTTTCATCTCCGGGGACCCGGCAGCGGCTGCCGAGGCGTCGAGGCTCGTAGGTGAGGCGTGCCGGAAGCACGGCTTCTTCCTGGTGGTGAACCACGGCGTTGATCGGCAGCTGATCGCCGACGCTCACCGATACATGGATGACTTCTTTGAATTGCCGCTCTCGGAGAAACAGAGAGCTCAGAGGAAAGCAGGGGAACACTGCGGATACGCCAGTAGCTTCACTGGCAGATTCTCCTCCAAACTCCCTTGGAAAGAGACGCTTTCTTTTCGCTACAACAACCCTTCTGACGATATCGTCTTGGACTATTTTGGCAACGTATTGGGTCCTGATTTTGAACAATTCGGGTATGATTTGAGAATAAAAAAAAAAAAAAAAAAAAAACTGTTGGTCGTTCAAATATTGGCTTGTTTTTACGGTTTGGCTGATAAGTTTTGTTTGGTTTTGTGTTTTTGATATTCAGGAGAGTTTACCAGGATTACTCGGAGGCAATGAGCAAGCTGTCATTAGGAATCATGGAGCTACTGGGAATGAGTCTGGGAGTTGGGAGAGCCCATTTTAAGGAATTTTTCCAAGACAACGATTCCATAATGAGGCTCAATTATTACCCGCCTTGCCAAAAACCTGATCTCACATTAGGCACAGGCCCTCATTGCGACCCGACTTCTCTGACCATTCTCCACCAGGACCAAGTCGGCGGTCTCCAAGTCTTCGTCGACGACGAATGGCGCTCCATTAGCCCGAATTTTGACGCCTTTGTCGTCAACATCGGTGACACCTTCATGGTAAGCAACTAAAAGCCCGTTTGGTTCATAAAAGAAAATACTGCAGTAAAAAGGTTTAAACTATAGTTCGAACTGGCAAAACAAACGGGTATAAGTGATAACATTTTTGTTTTTGTTTTGTTGATGTAGGCTTTGGCGAATGGAAGGTACAAGAGTTGTTTGCACAGGGCAGTGGTGAACAGTAAAATGCCAAGAAAATCTCTGGCGTTCTTTTTGTGTCCCGGGAAGGAGAAAGTGGTGAGTCCACCAAGGGAATTGGTGGACAGTTTGTGGCCTCGTGTGTACCCGGATTTCACATGGCCAATGCTTCTTGAGTTCACGCAGAAGCATTACAGGGCTGACATGAAGACCCTACAAATCTTCTCCAACTGGCTTCAACAGAAAAAACAGTTAGAAACAACTTCATAAGATGATCGTTACATATAATGGAATGAATATCAAATGTCTATGATCTCTTCCAAAAAAAAAAAAGATGGGCATTGCGAAAGAAAGGAGATTTGGTCTTTTTGGCCAACGCCTAGTGTATGAAGGCAAGAACTGAGACAAAGGCAAAGTCAGAGGAAAAGCCGAGTTTTTTTTTTTAATATAAAGAGATTATATTTAATGTTTTTAAAGGAGTCAGCAACTGCTAGCTTTAGGGATGATGATGAAACAGAAGGAAAGACAGTGAGGTATAAGGAACCAATAAAAAAAGCTGGCTTTAACAGCTAAGTTTTGTAATTTCTCTTTGATAATATAGAAATGTTATCAATAGCAATATTATTATACCAATCTTTGATTAGGGTAAAATGAAATATTGCGCATAGAATGGGGTTTGTGAATACTCCAAGCGACATGATGTGTTATTTGGACACCTCCCACCGAAACAAAATAAAAAAATGGACATTATTATGTGTTGGGAAGGTAAGTAACTTTTTAACTTGTGGATTGGAGGAACTTTTTTTTTGAGTTTTTAATTCGAATTGAAAAAAGTTTTTAATTCGAATTGAAAAATAACGTAATTAAATGTGATTGTTTTTGATAATTTTTTACTTTAATAAAATTTAAATTTTAAATTTAATTCAAATTGAGATATGATGTGAGAGTTTTTTATTATAATAAAAAAGTGAGTTTTTTATTATAATAAAAAGATTAAATGTGATTGTTTCTATAACTTTTTATTTTAACAAAACTTGAATTTTAAACTCAAATGAACTTGAATTTTAAATTCAAATGAACGGGCTTGTTTTATTTTCCATAAAAAAGAAGTTGCTCCATTACTGGAGAAAGAATATCCCGCATTAATATCAGAAGTGCTACAATAAATTTGTGAAACTTGAATGACTTGAAATTACAAAATGAGCCCAAACAATTACTGGTATACTGAATTACGTTAGAGAAGTGATATACTTGCGAGTTTTTTAGCATTGAAATTGTAAAATAGAATGGTATACTTGTGAAATTAGACCCTTGACCTAAATAAAGAGAAGAAAACGGAATTTTTTAGTAAGATATGAAAAATTATTTTATTTGTAAGTCAACTTAAATTGTTGGATCAGATTAGATTAATAAAAGTATACTAATTTAACATAACTTAAATGAATATGTAACCATATATTGCTGTCCTTTACTAGAAGGATATACTGTCATACCTCGTCATACATTTTCTCGAGGAAAAAAAAAAAAAAACAGAGAGAAGAAAAGCATATAGAAGAGAGGTTGTTGTTACAAATATTTAACTCTTGTTTCCTCTTATTTAAGTATGCTTTTATGTCCCTACGGTAATATCATATCATGTTAATTAAAGTCATTTTAATTAAAACATCATGCAACACTAATTAAAAAGTCATGTTAACTAAAATATTAATTTAGTTAACATAACGTGATATTATTTGAGAGATATGAACTGGAATACAAAAAATGAAACATGTGAGTCAAATCTTTGATAAGCATATAAAAATTAAAAATAAATAAAAAAAGAATTGTTTTAGCATGAGCAAAAAAAATAAAAAAAAACAATGATAATAATGGACCCAAACTAATTATAAAAAGGAAACGGTATTTGTGTATCATATATATTTTGTGAGAATCAAATATGATCTTATACTGATAAAATCTTGGATACGGAATCACTAGGCAAATTAAACTGTATAAATTTATCATTTCACTAGCAACATCAACATATTTTTTCTGTAAGTGTTTGTGTTGTTAATAACCATCTCCAAACCTAACTGAATTATTAGCGCGTAATCAAGGAAATAATTATATTTCAACCTGAACATGTGACATTATACCAAGAAAAACAAATAAATAAATCAATGATACCAAATTATAACGAATATGCATGCTATTCTTTAGATTTCATCCTAGCGTTGGAAAAACGTTTTGTTTTTATATTTGTTGATAGCAAAATTTTCAGCAACTATACCTATACGTACGTATGCACATTATAAATAAATTTTTCAAAAAATAGGCTCATTTTATAATATGAAATTTATTGTGCATGTTTTTCAATAAAGGGTCATATTAAAATCAAATTAAAGTACAAAATATATGAAACTAAATTATTGATGAAAATACGACGGCTTAAAATAACCAATTCATAGAATATTTCTTCAAATATTTTATAAAATTGAGAATTAAAGGATAGTTCTACACATATTAATATTAAAAAAAAGATAAAATCGATAATATTAAAATAATATCTCGACGTTTTTAAAAAGATCTTTTTGGTACCATGAAATTGATTTTCAAGACGTAAAATGACTTTAGTACCATTCTATTTAATTAATTAAAAACTAATAAAGCTAGACAAAAAAAGCATGTCCTAAAAATATTAATTTTTATTTAATTAATAAGAATGATAATTTAAACATTATATGTCTTAAAAATTAACTATAAATAATAAAAAAATCTTTTTAAAAATTTCATTATACCGTTTTAATATTATAAAAAATACAAAATAACAGGACTATCTTTTGCTTTTAACACAGGTGATTAAAATGATTTTAACCCTTAAAAAATACAAGTTAATAAAGCCGTTGGGCCTATAAAGATTAGGGATATCGTTAAAAACTCTCAGAAGAATCCAATTAAAAAGATGGCCCACCTAAATGGATGATTCAGAGCAACAGCCACAGGGTGCTAGAATCCATTGAGGATTGACAGAGCTCTATTTTGTAGTGTTTTCGATCTGAAAGGTTTATTTAATATATTTTGTTTTTTAAAATCTTTTTGGATTTGTTCTTGTTCTTTTTTATTTTATATCTGGAATTTGGATGGTTGTGTTATATCAGAATTCAGAGGATACTTGCCAATTTTGTCGTGGTGCTTGTTCTTAAATGCTGCAACATTCTTCTGGTGATATTATTATTGACATTAAAAAAGAAAAAAGGAAAATGTTTGGGGTCTGTGCGAGCACGTCCCTTTCCATCATTTTCTGAGAAATTTATTAATTTTCTTAGATTAAGTAGCGAATTAAGCCTTTTGAATTCCAACATATATGGGTTTACACACACAAGACACAGATCGTGTTTAGTTTAAATTGGATTGAAGCGCGGATTATGCTTTTGCGTTCAAGTTTGTGGTTTGTTTTTTCCGAGTCCGAACAAGAGCCCTGTTTTTCCACGTCCAAGCAAAAGCTATGATTTTTTTACCATTAAAAGTGCCATTTTTAGTTTTCAAATCCACAAAGAACTACAAAGTGAAACGATTAACGCGATACATTAGTTAGATACTTGACAATTTAGACAAAGGAGAAATATCCTTAAGATTAAATCACTCCTTAAAATTGAATCGCTCTCATAAGATTTATTTTATTCGATTAATATTCTAACATATATTTACACTGGCATTTTTCTTTCAAATGTCACTAAAACTTTTTTTTTTCCCTTGTAGCAATTATAAGGTAGCTTTGTCAACTTGTCCGCACTGATTTAAATTAAGTATTGGATTCCAATCATCGACGAGTAGTGTAATTGTTTTTTTTTTTTTTTTTTTTTTTTTTTTTTAAAGATTTCTCGGCCATTCAATGAAGTGTTTAATCCCAATTTTAAGATTATGTACGTGTTTTGGGTGTTGGACCAAAAATTGCACCAACAATTCCCATTTTTGTTTGCTCTTGAAGTTAGCAATTGGGTGCTATATATATTTTTTTAGTAAGAACCTTTTTGGAGCCAAGGTTGGCAAAATTTGTGACTAGAAAGTAACCCATTTTGTCGTTTATTTTTTTTTTCTTTTTAATTTTTGTTGCTTCAGAGTTTAATTTGATATACTTTGGCAGGTTCACAATCGTTAATTTTTCCAATCGAAAATGGTTGGGAGATTCTTACCACGATTCGAATTATGGTTCATAGTTCGCTACAATATTTTCTCTCACAAAAAATACACGTAAATCGAAAATAATTCTAATCTCATTATTCTAATCTATGAACCAAACGTCTCATAATATTATTTTCTCCATTCACATATTTGTCGTCAAGGTCAATGCTTATATCTAGATCATATATAGAACTTTTTGGTGATTTGGAGGGTAGCCTTAGCCCATTAGTTAATTAAAGTAAGATCGTTATTAGGGTAAAATAAATAAAGTAATCAAATTGTCTCATGATATCAAGATATTGGACCTTGTTCATGCTTTATGCTAATTATAGATTATAGATTTTAAACTGTACTTGCTAGGCTCTTTTGTAACACCCTCAAAAGGATCTTTAGCATCATTTAATATAACGAAAAATATTTAGGCTGTTTGACCAGTCTGTATAGCTATCTCCTTCTCATATCATATTATCATATGTTGTTTAACCCAATGATAAGAAGAAATATTTTGCTGTTCCACCTTAGTTTAGATTATTTAGGTGTCGTTCACTTCGCAGATTCGAGTTTTCAATTCGAGTTGAAATGTGACATTTTCTGAGAGCTTTTCACTGTAGTAAAAAAATTTAGATGTGACATTTTCTGAAAGTTTTTTACTGTAAAAATCTAGAACTGAAAACTCAAATTAGTGAAATGAACGAGAACTTAATTATTTAATATGATGAATACATTGTATTCCTAAATCTTATATCATATATATTGAAAAAGCGTGATTGTTTATAACATTATACGTACGATGTTGTTTGGCCGTTCAAACTAGAAATTTAAACTTAAATTTAATTTAAAAAAAAAATTGTGACTAAAAAATTTGAACCGTGAGTCAAATTTACGAAACAACATGACCTTAATAATTAGAAAGTATAGCGATAATCTCACATTTTTCCCACTAAATGGCTTTTGATCATCAATATATAAGATGCAATAAAACCATTAAACTTCCTTCTCTGATTTTTTTTTTTTTTTTTTTTTTTTTGCCCTTTTGAGGTCTAATTTTAAATTTTGTAATTTTGCTTCATGACTGGAGAGGCACAGCCGCCATAGGTAAGGACAATGACAGTCCCATTCTTGTACTCCCTTCCAAAAGGCCCGCATCACGTGGAAACCATTTGGAGTTTGTTCTGGCACCACATTTCTAATCCAACTCTCAGAACAAACATCCTTGGTTTCACTACACAACTATTCTCTTCCACAAAACGACATCTTTTGGGATTTCTTTCATGGATACCCACCTGCCCTATGTGTACCATCTTTGTTCTTTTCCTTTCCCCACAAACCTTTCTCACTTTTACCATAAATCCTCGTGTGTTTGTGTCCTCTAATTAT